AAAAAAAACTTAAATAAAAAAGTTCAAAGCAGAACAGACTGTCGACGTACTGATCAAAAACTGATGACGTCATATGTTATGCGTTGCTCTTGTATTATTGTCTATCTTCATTGGATTGTCACATCTTTGGCACGGCCGACATATTGCCGGGTGTTGATAGAAGAATGTTTTTCAGCGTTGTCGGTGGTTGGCGGGTGCTCTGGTGTGGTTTGCTTCTTCTTTCCTATCAAACATCTATCGTCCTTATCTCCCCTCCTTCTTCTTTGTGTTTGTTACTCTCTTGTAACACCTCTAATCTTATATGACCTAATTGTGTTGCAAGTGCAGTAAAACTCTTACGAGAAAAGAAAAAGGAATGCTCTTCGGCGTTGTCGGTGGTTGGCGGGTGTTCTGGTTTGGTTTGCTTCTTCTTTCCTATCGAACATCTATTGTTCTTATTTATCATCCTCCTTTTTTGTGTGTCTTTGTTACTCTCTAGTAACACTTCTAATCTTCGGGAGTTCTGTAATCTATATTTGTGTGGGTGGTTGGCGGGTGTTCTGGTGTGGTTTGCTCCATCTGTCCTATGAAACATCTATCGTCCTGATCTCTCCTTTTTCTTTTTTCGTGTTTGTTACTCTCTTGTAACACCTCTAATCTTCGGCACTTGTATGACCTTATTGTGTTGCATGTGCCGTAAAACTTTTACTAAATCTAAAAGAGTAAGCCTTATTCCCTGTGAAGACTTCTCTGTTGACATCCATCAATTGGCGCTCGGAATGACGGACAGAAGGAAGAAAGAAAGACAAAATGAAAGACAAAAAGAAAAGCTGAATGACAGAAAGAAAGAAATAAAGGAAAAAAATCAAAGAAAATAAAGAACGACACGAGACAGAAAGACAGAAAGACAGACAGAAAGACAGAAAGACAGACAGAAAGACAGAAAGACAGAAAGACAGAAAGACAGAAAGACAGACAGACAGAAAGAACCACAAGGCAAAAACCGTCTGTGTGCGGTACCCCTGGTCTCCGCCCTAAGCTAGAACTGACGTGTCTTGATCAAGGACGGCACGGGTAGGTGTCACAGGGAAGTAATCGAATTATCTCCCTTAGATGTACAGCGCGGTACTGGAACGTCGCATCCAATCGGATGTTCCTCTTCACCGGTCGCGTCAGGTTACTACAGACTAATGTAGCCAAATGCGTTCATATTATCGATAATGACTTTAATATTATGCTGTTGCCCTTAAATTTTCATCCCATACACCTACAACGTGTGGTTGTTGGCGGGTGCTCTGGTGTGGTTTGCTCCTTCTTTCCTATCAAACATCAATCGTCCTGATCTCCCCTCCTTCTTTTCTTTATGTTTGTTACTCTCTTGTAACACCTCTAATCTTCGGCACTTATATGACCTTATTGTGTTGAAAGTGCCGTAAAACTCTTACTCTAACATATATTATAAAGACTAATTTAGCCAAATGCGTTCATATTATCTATAATTATAATGACTTTATGCTGTTGCCCGTAAAACTTTCACCCCATACACCTACAACGGGTGGTTGTTGGCGGGTGCTCTGGTGTGGTTTGCTCCTTCTTTCCTATCAACCATCTGTCGTCCTTATCTCTCCTCCTTCTTTTTTGTGTTTGTTACTCTCTTGTAACACCTCTAATCTTCGGCACTTATATGACCTTATTGTGTTGAAAGTGCCGTAAAACTCTTACTCTAACATATATTATAAAGACTAATTTAGCCAAATGCGTTCATATTATCTATAATTATAATGACTTTATGCTGTTGCCCGTAAAACTTTCACCCCATACACCTACAACGGGTGGTTGTTGGCGGGTGCTCTGGTGTGGTTTGCTCCTTCTTTCCTATCAACCATCTGTCGTCCTTATCTCTCCTCCTTCTTTTTTGTGTTTGTTACTCTCTTGTAACACCTCTAATCTTCAGCACTTATGTGACCTTATTGTGT